TAAATCCATGGGTATGTACTACTTTTATGCAAAAGGATTCGAGTTTTTATTTTAAGAAATTGATTCATTCAAACACAAATCAGCACTTGTCTGATGATTTCTTTTTAAATTATCAAAATATGAAGTATATACATACATGTTATATGTTCATGAAAGACGATCTTGCAGTCAGTAATAAAAAGTTTGCATAAGTATACCAGTTATGTATATACTTTTTACTTTAAGATTTCAATTTTGTATTCAGTTGAAAAATTGAAGAGTACATGAAAAAACAATCATCAGTAAAAAATTTTCTAGTGAAATAATCAAAACTGAAAAGGTAAACTGATTTTTTCAAGCATGATAACGATCCGCTAGATTTATTATTTTATTTATTTTTCAACAAATACTATGGGATGCTCCTATTGAGACAAAATCATCTCATTCAAATGAATTCAAGAATTAATAGAAGCATGATGTTTGTACTTTCTAAATTCTACGGATTAACGTTAATGAAGATATTTGTGATTAAGAAAGAGTAAAAATAAAAATTTGTTCTTCTGACTTCGATTTCAACTAGAAAGAAGGTATTTATTGTCAACGGGATGAGATGGTTCATATGTTTTAAGCATAGAAATAGCGACAAAGCTTGAATGCATACAAGAGAACTTGTTCCAAAGAAGATTTAAAGATTACTTTATTGCTTATGATATATAGAGTATTAGGTACGTTTTGAGTCTTGACATAATTATTTAATATGTACATAGAAAATTATATCGAACAGAACATTTATTTATGAGGTTTGAGTATTTGTTCATGAAGTGATGAACATATACTTGACTTAGAATAAAATTATAATAGGAATCAATAAATAATTTTCATAACTGTCTATCTGACAATTCTCACTAATCATTGGACAAATGATTGAGCAAGTTATATGCTAGATAAACGGTGCAAAATAAATGAAACTATGTGGACAACAGAGCTCCTCATGAATGGAACGGGACGAAAAACTTGTTCCATCTCATCCCACGGATCTCATGGGATAATTTGTGCAAAGAAAATATTTTTCTAAAAGTCGGAATCGACTTCTATGAATTTTTAAACTCAATCATTCCAGTTTCTACCATCTATGTATGTTTAAATTAGTTTATTTGACATTCAATTTTTATACTAATCACACATATTATATTGGTTTCGTCAAGAGCAATATTCTAAATCTAGTGTATTGGGATTCTGATGAATCCCACGAATACGAGGATGAATTCCACGAATCCATTACGATCTGAATTTATTAAATTTCATTAGAACTTCTATTCTTTTGTTGCTCTTTGATGATTTTCCTCCGACGTCTCTACTTAAATAGAAAGTAATAGTGTTTCTTCTTCAGCGTACTTTTTTTATCATGAATTATCAATTCTTGATGAGTTTCGTTCGATTTTCATAATTCTAAAAATAACTAGAAACGCTTTCACATACTATTGTGGATTATAGGAGAAGTTTTTTTTTTAAAGATTTTTGCGAACTCTGATGAAATCGATATTATGGATGATTCTTTATTTTTACTTCCATTTATTACAAAAGATGATAATAAATGAATCATTTATTTTTATTTAATAAAGTAAGACTAAAGAACCAGGTCCAATCGATGACATTTGGAACTGTGCATCATCCACTAAAAGCTGTAATCTACAAATTGCTTCCTTTAAACGGAAGTTAACAACAACTGTGTCGAAAGTCGATTTTATTGACAAACTCTTTACAACCATGTCTCTGTACTCATACAATCAATAGTCATGCAGAAGTATATTAAAAATATAAGTTATTGTGAAATATATAGAATTCCACAGAAAAAGCTTTAGATTCCATTATTTAAACATCTGAAAACAAAACCAACAGCGAACCTATTTGTTTTGAAGGAATGAGATTGCCATGAGAGTAATTATAATTAACTGTAGTACCCAATGCTCGTTTAAAGTACTTGCTAAAATTATATTTCAGAAAAACAAACTTGGATTTTGCATGATAAAACAATACGAAGAGATCCTATGGGATAAGAAAGTTGTCCTATTCCGTCCAATGGGATAGGATAGGATCTTCTCATCCCACGCAGAGCTCTGATGGACACACTATCTGTAAAACGAAAACAGAAACATAAATATATCACTAGAAACTATTGCTGAATTATTTAGTGCTCGAAGTTGACGCCAACATGATGATGATGATGATGATGCGAAATTTTCAGAGGTATGGTCGATTAATAAAATACGTTGAAAACTTTGTGAAATAATGAAAAGTACTTTTTTCTCTTTTTCTTATAATATAAAAAGTTTTAAAATGTTTCTTACAGAATTCAATTATGAAACATGATAAAACCGATTTATCCATTATGAAAGAAGTTAACCCATTGCGTCTGTTATATTTTATAACAAGAAAAGCTGTTAGCGCAACCCCCTTGGGATTGAAAATGTGAAACACAATGTATCTGCTATTACTAAAGACCGGAAAGCTGCTTTATTCCATATTTCTTCAGAACCATTTAATCTCTAACTTTTAGTAGTCAAAATCTCAGTAAGCAAGCCATTGATATATTTCCATGAGATTTTAATGACCTAGAATCACCAGTCCTTTATTAAATTGTCTGTCATAATATGTGATGCTTCTCGGGTCCGTCTGTCACTGTCTATGCTGGGTTATGAATGAGTTACCAATGAAAAATTAGTTAATTATTGTTTACCCTGATTAATTAATTAATTAATCAGTTAACTAGTCTCTCGCTG